AAAGGGTTCTATGACAGTTCTTCACACGACATTTCATCATGCAACTTCTCATCACGGACAATTCATCCCGGCGTCAGTTCATCACTGCGACATTTCATCACACCCCAATTCATCACTTTGCAAATTCATCACATACAATTCCATCACATACAATTCCATCACATTTATTTAAATTTTTTTTTATATATATAATCCAGAAAACGTAATATATTTATTCAAAATCAGGTATTCTTATTTTTTATTTTTTTTAATATTTTTTCATTTTTATTTGTTTATATAAAATACAGAAAATATAATACATTTAATAAATTAAAATAAATATGACACTGTTCTAAGGAAAGTTAGTCTATTTTGTATATCATAATTGTCAATCATATTTTGTAATCTAAGCTTTAATAATTTGTACTTATTCTTTATAGGAATGCGTTGTCCAGATATATGTTGGAGATACTGCGAGTGTTTTAATTCGGTTCCTTTGGCTAAGCCGTTGAAAAAAGTCCACATTGTAGGATGGGCACATTGAAATAGTGATTGCAAGTCGTTATGCCATCCTTCAATGCAATTCGTAGTTCTAGATAATCCTTCAGCAGCCGATTCGTGTCGGGGCTGCTTCTGGTATTAAATTCTTCAAAGCCCTAAGCAGCCTTGTGTTTATTTCTTGTTTTTTTTTCCAGTTAATAATGCTAGAACGCAAGGCCACGAAGTACTATCTTCTTGCACGTGGATGCTATACAGTTGGAAGAACAACTCTGGAACTACTTTAAAAGTCCCATCATCTATCCAGTTTGTTTTTCGTTCTAAAATTTTTGTCGTGTTTGCCAAATATAATTATTCTGTATAAAAGAATATATGGTGTGTAGACTTCCGGAATTTCACATTTGATATCCCTGGGGACAGGCGTAGAGGTTGTAGCTTTACTACTTCTTTGTAGAGTTCGTGTTAGAGTTGATTTCTTTGGCAAGCACACCTTGGTTCCATCTGAGAGATTCTCCGTCACTTCAGCCATAGCTCGCTTTACTGTCACACCAGGATTGGCCATCAATATTTTCATTTCTGCAATGGCTTTACTGGCCAAGGGTTGAAAAGGCGTAATATCATGTGTGTGATCATTAAGAATGCTTTACAATTCTATGCCCTTCTGTGTGAATAACTGACTTACATTTTGCAACTTGATGTTTTCTGCAGCGCCAATGTGTAGGTAATATTTTCAGATGTCAGCCAATGTTTAATATATTCATGGAAATGATATACCAGTGTCTGACCTCCTCTAGACGTTGATCCGAAAGAAAATGTTTCATTTTTCATCTTGATATTTTACATAGTATTTTTTTTTAAATTACACTCAACACATAAAGAAAGATAAGAATAATACTGAATAGATTCTAGATTTCGGCTTATATTTATATGAAACGACAACCTTTTCTAATCCTTTTTACATGAGGAAAAGGTTAATAAACATTTAAATAGTAATTATATTAATCCGTACATTAGTTTCCAATTTTCGCAATATCTATTTGCTAATCCACTTGTTTTATATACATCTAAAACTTGTTGATGAATGCATGAATTTTTGAAAAGGATAATCGCATAACTAGAAATCACTCCCATTTAAATATAAATTTATAATCCCTTTTTTTCCTAAAAATAACAAGGATGTAGCCCTGAACGGACTGAATTTTTTTTTGCAATTTGCAAACAATTTTTATTCTATTTTAGGAATTTTTAGTGTATATTTTGCAAATGGATGTGATGAAATAGCATGTGATGATTTGGGATTTGATGAAGTGTCGCAATGACGAAATGTCGCAGTGATGAACTGACGCTGGGATGAACTGTCCGTGATGAGATGTCGCGTAATGAAATGTCGTGTGATGGGCTGTCGGGTCACCATTAAAAAGTAGGCAAGGCCAGCAAAACAATTTCTTCAAAGTTTTGCAGCCGGTTAACCATTCATACTTTTCAGAGAACCCTACGTGAAAATGTCCGTTTTCTTTTCAAAATTTCTACTTGAAAATCCCTATTTCAACAAAGAAACTACGAAAAACAAACCGAAATCTACCTAAAATCTAAGATTGAAGAAATTATTTAACTTGAAACGAAAAACCGAAAGCTGGTATTATTAGGACGTTCAATTTTTTGTTTTGTGAAGCATTGGCATTAGTTAGGTTAAACCATGTGATGATTTTCACAAGCCTTGATTTTTAAAACCATTCTGACTTTCATGTTCGGCAAGCCATCGCTAAAAGTTCCCAAAATACAATTTTTATTAAAGGTTTAAAACATTTAATAGACTGCCTACAGAAATTAAAAATAAAAAATAAATAAAAAGTAACCTCAAACAATACTTGATAAATAAACAGAACGGATATACTTTCTTGTAATAATACTCTTTAAACCTGCTCTTTTTAAGTATTTCCCTTAATTTATTGTTATTTTACCTCTCGTTTTTCTACTTACTATGTTTAAATTATTAATAGTTTTGCGACGATAGGTTATAGAAATTTATAGCTACAAAACTATTTTTGTGTTACAGTAGATCCATAGAGAGCAATGTAATTTACAAAGGCCTTCTTTCAACATACAAATAAATGACAACTTTATAATTAAAATGAAAAACACAACAAAATACCTCGGATCAAAATTTCAAATGGGTTGATCACATTACATCAATAAAATCCCAAGGTAAGAAGATTCATTTTAAAATTTTATGAATTGAGGAAATTTATGACTAAGAGTTTACTAATTATTATTTACAATTCGCTGGTTGAATATGTAATCCAAAACTGTATAATTAAAATTATCTACAAAAAACCTAACTCTCTTTTATATGTATAATAAAAAGTGCTTTGTATAAGAACATTATATTATTTGTCTTGCTGTACCATTAATCATGGAAAGCCTGAATTGAGATACACTACAAATTGTTTGCAATAAATATCAGAAGAAGCAAAAATTTTTAAATAATTTGACATTTAAGAGCCATGCACACATCACAGTTGACATCTTGATACTTGACAGGCACAGCCAAGCATTATTCTGCTTTTTGCCAAATAAAATAGTCGGTTAATTATTCTATGGGGTTCCGACAGAGGGCCAGTAAATTTGATGAAGGTGTTTTTGTAAATAAAAAAGTCATTTTTAAGGAACTGCTTATATATTTTTCATAAATTGGCAGACTTGGCGACTAATTTCGAATAAAAATAGCCCTCAAAATGGCTGGTTGCAAGTATGAAGGTCGCAACCCGCCTTAGAAATTTCACCTTTACTATCAACAGCTGTTGTTTGACAGGTCGTTAGAGAATGTTTGCAATTTATGGAATGTTGAGAATGTTAGGAATGTTGACGTTAGAAATAATTGAAATTTTTAAAATTGTCACATAAAAATTGCATAGGCGGATTTTAAGAAAAATGATATTAAAATAGTTAGGATGAACCGAAAATTCTGAAATTCAATAGGGTTCTAAGTTAGAAGTAATTATTCAAGAAAATTAAAACTGCAAGTCAATCAGAACTTTCGTTCTAGAGTTATTGTGCCAGCATACATACATACAGACGACCAGACGAAATTTTTTTTTTGCATTTTTGTACTCAGAATGATCGGAAACATGAAAAAAAGTTTTAAAAAATGGGGATAAGAAAATTTTTTTGTCTGCACGAATGCAATACTGAGGCTTCATAGGAAGGGCCTCAGTAATACATTAGGGAATGGTAGCCATCTGCTAAAAAACAAAATTCCACCAAACTGGAATTTAAAAGGTTAGAATGCACCTACCGGTAGCCAAAAAACAAAGAGTACCATCTAGCCACTCAGCCGCTGGAATTGCATCTCGCGTGTGTTTTGATTTTCTATTACGAACTTAATTTGGTCCAACAAATACCGAAAATCAATGGAGGACATTCGAAGAAAGTTTTTGTCACATTCCTTATCATCTCTTTCTAATTCTTCTAATAATGTTTTCATTATATTCTTGTTTTCCTTTCCAGTATCTGTGAGATCTTTTCGTTTCTGTGCGGGATTTAACGGCAAGGTAATAATAATAATAACAATCTGCAGCCTTTCTTTTTTTAGCCCTTTTTGTTAATATCTTTTTATAAAATCACTCCACAAAACAACTTAACACATTGACAACTGTGGGAACAGCACATTCAGAGAGAAAATTTTGTGAACTCGGGTATATCACAGAAATAATTCATGTTCTGTGGAAACATATCTGAGATAAATGTCACATGAAATAAATATCTCACGAGATTTTAGTCTCCTTGTGGACACCTACCTTTAAAGACTATTCTGAAACCATAAACTCAATAATATTTCTGTTATGTTTCGTGATAATATAATATTATAACATGACTTAACAGTTCATTATAGTTATTTAATTAAATGTTATAATACCATAAACTGCTTTACATTGTATAAAGGTTTAATTTCGCATGATCCGTATCGTTAGTTAAACGGATAATAACAATTAACCGGGAGCTGATAAAATTGCAATTTAAATGCATAACGTCGTTCGCGCAAAATAGGTATATTTGTTATGACCGATTTGATGAGCTATATATCGCTTGTTGTTTGACACTTTCCTCTGATTATACTTGCAGATACGACACTTTAAAATTTTAATTATTTTTAGAATGGTACGTGCATTTGGCTCAAAGACTGATAAATTGTTGAATTATTTAATTATAGTCTAATTTTGTATTTTACCCTTCAGCTAATTTTTGTTACATTATTACCTGTAGATGTTAATTGAACCCGTCATTTCGAAAAGGACACAAGTCACATTTTTTAAAATATCACTTTTTGACGCCATTTGATTCTTTGAAGTATTTTACATATTTCCTGCGAAAACGGCACATCTTCATATACCACAAGGGAGCTTATAAAGCAGTCACAAATTAAAGTCTGTATGAAAACGGCACGAGTCTCGGACTAATGCCCCTTTCAAGTGACACGGAACGCAGCTGTCAGATATAATAACCTCACTTTATCAGTTACGAAAATGGAGAATCGCGAGCTTGCTGATACTGCTTTTAAATCAAGAAAAAGGGTGTCTGGTGTAAGAAACATCGAAAACTATAAGCATAACAAAATAAAAAAAGCCAAAATTGCTGGAAAAGCTCATAAATACCATAAGGGGAGAGATGTTAGAATATGTTTTGTGATACTTATAGGGTAAATCGAGGATAGATGGCCCAGGTTTTGAAATTTTATGTTAACATTTGCATACGTTGAATTAGAATTGCTGTCAATTTTTATAACGAACCTTTATTGAGTTTAGGAACATGTCTTAAGTATTAAAATTCATAAAAAAATTAAACTTTTAATTCGTAAAAGAAAATTAAAATAGTTAACAAAAACCATCTCCCCCACAGTGCTGAGGTGAGATGGTGCAACTGAAAAAAAATGATATTTTGGCCAAAATGTTACTTTGTTTTGCATACAACAACACCACAGTCATGGCAAAAGTTAACAAACTTGGAACAAGAATCATGGAACCATTTGGAGCAACGTAAGCAATTAACCCAGTCGTCATTTTTTGTGGTTTGGGAGTACGTTTCACCACATCCTGTGCAAGACTCGTCAGCATCGTCCATATCATCTGAACGAGCATCCGAAGAGTCATCCAATGTCGGTGCTTCTAGATCTTCGTCTGAAGATGAGTCTCGTTTGGAAGCTTTCTTAGTTTTGTTTTTGGTCACTTTTGATTTCTTAAAAACTGGTTCTGATTTACTGGTCTTTTTTTCTTTCTGTGTTTTCTTAGTCGCCTTCTCCTTTTTTTCGCCAATTGTTGCCTCTGTGGTTAAAATTGCTGCAAGCTGCTTGCTCCTGGCTCGAACCGAATTAACGGCAACAGAAACAACCGGAACAGGTGAGATTATATACAGTATTTTTCCAGGGGTACATTTCACAGGAGTATTTGCATTAGTTTCTGCAGGCGATTTATTTTGTTTTTCTGGTACAGTTTCACCTACAGTCTGCCAACTGCAGCCAGGTTGTTGATTGTCATCAGCTAAAGCTTTGTTGAAACTTTGAGAACTGCCATCAGGATTTTCTTTATTTTCAACTGCATCAGAGACCTCAAGTATGATACTATTTTCAGTCAAATAAGCGTCATCTGGGATAGCAGAAGGGTTAAATGGAACAATTCCGGTAGCCTTAAATGCCGAAGTTCCATTATTTACAGTTGCAGATTTATTCCATCCTTCAGCAAGTAATTTTCCAAATTGTAATCTGGTGATCTTTCGTCCTGGGTTATTTTTAATGTATAAATTGCAAGCTGAGTAGTAGTTTAATTTAAACGATCTGAAAAAACATCTATCTAACGGTTGTAAAAATTGTGTCGTATGACTCGGTAAGCAAAACAATATGATGTTGTGGTCAACACAGTATTCTAGCATTTCAATGTTACTACAGTGTGAAGAATGACCATCAAGCAGTAACAAAACTGCACCAGTCGGCTTTCTGGGAACAAACTGATCTCTAAGCCACTGAAAAAATATGTCACTGTTGACATAGGCTGATTTTACCGACATGTAGACCAAGGATCCTGGGGGCATCCCATCCTCAAACTCCTGTTTTTTATTTTTGCCTTTCATTACGCAGGTAGGGGGAATAAAAACGCCTTCTGCGTTACAACAGGTTATAACCGTGATGGTTTCTCCCTTTTCACCGGAGCTGATACTTGCGATATTTTTAGATCCTTTCTGAACAATGACATGCCCTGGCCTATTATTAAGCTGTAAACCAGTCTCGTCCATATTATAAATATGTCCAGGTTTATTTATGAGATCGTTTTCGGCCAGAATATTTCCTAGCAGCTGAAAATAATCCTCAACATCTTTTTTGTTCATACCCAAGGATCGATTAATAGAGACCCCTTCTGCTTTTCTCACTGACAGCCTTGGGTTTCTCTGCAGAAATAACTTGAGCCATGGAAAACCAGCTAATCTCGATTCCTTATTAAAACGATGTTTAATGCCCAGCTGTTCGGCCAATTTAAAAGCCATACTTCGCACGTCGGTTCGAGTAGGAGCAAAACCGTGTTTTTGAAGTTTTAGGATATGTTGGACCAACTTTGACTCAGCTGCTTCGCCTAATGTGGAGGAGGGTCCAAGAGGACCTTTCTTTACATTTTTTCTCAATTTTCTTCTTCGTAGAGTGGTTGCCGGTACCCCAAAATTTCGAGCAGCATCATTAACTCCCATTATATTTTTATTAATGGCTTCAATGGCTGCGGCTAACTGTTGTTCGGTCCAACTAGCCCTGGAACAACTTCCAGTGCGCTTGTATTTTGTTGGCATACTGAAAAGAAAAATAAATATTAATAAGCCATCTCACCTCAAAAATATGTGAACCATCTATCCTCATTGTGAGAGGAGAGATGGCGCACCTCACAAACCAAACACGTTTTGAAAAATGCGGAATTTTAAGGTTATACAACAAAACTAGAATGTTTTTACTTACTTGAGACGATAACGTGACTAAAATTATTATTAAATTTAAAGTTCACTAGCGCTAAGAAGGAAATGGGAAAAATAGTTTTGTTCCCACCGGATCACGTATAAAACTATATTCAAATAGGCATTTAACTGGTGAACACAAACGGTGCGGCGGCTTGTTTACTATGAACTGAAGTACATCAGAGCGCATCCGCTCATCTTTAACACTAGCGGTGGCGCTGCAAAACCATTGCGCCATCTCACCTTCTGCGCCATCTATCCTCGATTTACCCTATTATAAGTCTGTTTATTTTTGTAGTTAGTAGTTATGTATGTTGTTAACTAATATAAATAGTATGACAAATAGAAAAATAAAAAGGGTTGTCAAAAGTTGATCTTAATCTTTCTTTAAAATAACATTTACAACGTATCTCTACCGATCTACGCATACCACTGCTGCAGTACTCACCAACAGGTTATGGGCATCAACTTTTAGAGGAACGATTGCAAAAAAGAAATTCTGACATTTTTTTCTTCAGTCTTGTAAAAAGAAAAATGGAGGAACTGAAAGCCGAATTAGATCAGCTCAGAAAAGAATTAAGCTCTAAGAAGTCTACTATAGTGTCCACAGCAGTTGGAGAAAATAAACATCTTGATGGCAATAATTACCAAGACTGGAAGTTCTGGATTAAAAACTTCTTGGTAGATGCCGGACAGTGGTGCTGTATAGAGCCTCAAGCAGGAGAGATAAGTTGCAGATAAGGGCGTTAGCAAAAATAAATTTGTCCTTAAAACCATGTGCAGCTGCAGAAACCAAGAGGTGCAATTCAGCTAAAGAAGCGTGGGATAAGCTGCGAAGTGTTTATGAAGACTCTGGTGTTGTTCGTTTGATTAGCCTTTATTCTAGTTTGTTTAAAATCCGATTTGAAACGTGTAAATCAATGGAAGATTATGTAATAAAATTATTTAAATCGCTGAGCAATTAGAGAATATAGGAGAGCCTCTTAAAGACAATGTTGTTGGTGGAATTATATTAGGCGGGTTGCCTGAAGAGTATAAACCTTTAATACTTCAAGGCTCAAAACAAGTAACATCGACTGAATTTGTTAAAAATCTGTTATTGCAACAAAATGTTAAAGAAATTGAAGCAAAAGACCAAGAATTAGCATTTTCCAGTAAATCAACTAGTCAGAAACCGTATAGATTAAGAAAAAGTATTTGGTGTTACAACTGCAATGGCTACAATCACAAAGCCATCAACTGTACAAAACCAAAAAAAGAAAAAACTGCAATGGCACCAGTCGCCTTAACATGCAATTCTACAATCTTTTCTGCAAATGAATGGTTCGTTGATTCAGGAGCCACAGCGCATTTTACCTCTGAAAAAACTTATTTGAAAAATTTGCAAGAAGAATTTGGTAAAACTCTTTCAGTTGCTAATGGACGGAAAATACAATACACAGACAAAGGAGATGTCGAACTATGTTTAGAAAATAACAGAACCAGAATTATTCACGATGTTGTCCATTCCCCTGGGATAACTATGAACTTGCTTTCTGTTAGCCAAATGGTTAAACATGGTAATTCAATAATTTTTGACAAAGAATATGGTTGTTGTATTACAAGTAATAAATTTCAACTTAATCCAAATGACGTAATTGGTACTGCATCAGAACTAAATGGCATGTATCGATTAAATTGTATTCCTTCGTTAGCAAATTCTGTAAATGAAGAAGATAACTTCAAGCTCTGGCATGCTAGGTTGGGACAAGGTTATATGAAACTTCTGAGAAACATTTCGTCTGGTCTAAATTTTCCTACAGAAAATGCCAGTAATCAATGCGAAATTTGCATAAAAGGAAAATCTAGCAGAAAACCATTTAAAAAGTTTGCAAGTAGAAGAGCCAGAAATCGTCTTAAATTAGTTCATTCAGATCTTTGCGGTCCTTTACCTCAAAAATCCATTGGTGGTGCAAAGTATTTCCTTACATTTACAGATGATTTTAGTAGAAAATCAATTATTTTTTAAAATCTAAAACAGAAGTTTATGAAAAATTTATGGAATATAAAGCTGCCGTAGAAAAAGAAACTGGAAACAACATTAAATGCCTAAGAACCGATAATGGAACCGAATATAAGAACAAACCTTTACAAGAGTATCTTAAAAGACATGGTATAAAGCACGAGATGACAGTTCCGTACAGTCCCCAACAAAATGGTGTGGCCGAAAGGTTAAACAGAACCTTAGTTGAGTATACCCGTAGTATGTTAATAAACTCAAACCTTGGTAAAGAGTTTTGGGCTGAAGCTGCAAATACAGCTACTTATCTTAAAAACCGTGCTCCAACTGAAGCTCTCGACAGAATGACCCCTGAAAAAGCCTGGTATGGAATAAAACCAGATTTATCTCATATACATGTTTTTGGATGTAAAGCAATTATTCATATTCCAAAAGAAAAAAGACAAAAACTAGATCCAAAAGCTGAAGAATATATTTTTGTAGGGTACAGTGAAAATGTTAAAGGTTTTCGATTTATCCATTCACAAACAAAGAAATTAATACTAGCAAGAGATGATGTCTTTATAGAATCGGACGTATATAACTCTGAATTACCCAATAATTTTTCTCAAAACGATATTCAACAGCAGTTCCAGTTAATAGAAACTCCTGATGAAGTAGGGGACTCTACATGTGAAAATAATTTGAGTAACTGTGAATCAGAGACAGAACCCGAAACCGAGTCAGAAAAAGAAAAAATATCTGAGACAGAAAACCCCGAGGAATCTGAAATTAAAAACGTAAGATCTACTAGAGTAAGAGTTCCTAATAAAAGAATATTTAATGAAGACTATATCTATCAAGTTATGACCGAATCTTCAAGTGATCCTAAATCGATTCAAGAAGCCTTGTCCAGTGAAAACTCTACATATTGGGTGGAAGCGATGGAAGAAGAATTAAGAGCTCATAAGAAAAATAATACTTGGACTAATTGTGAACTTGGAGTGAGGGTAGCCATATGTGAGTAGTAGGGATTAAGTGTAAAGGTTAAAGAAAAAGTCCTTTATTTCTCACAAGTCAATTTATTGGCGACCGGTTTCGAAGTTGTCACTTCATCATCAGGCACACCTAAATGGAATATCAAGGAGTCAGTTGTAATAAAAACCTACATTTAAAACATTTTTTAAAAAATACTTATTACACATGACTTTTTTAACTCGTTCTGTTAAACTTTTTGTAGCGCTTCCTTTATGGAATTAGTCAAGGTGAGTCAAGGTTATTGTTTAACTTTCTTTTGTGTTTTTTCTGTTATTTTGTATATGTTAAAGTCCGTTCATGCTTTTATAATTGTTTTTATTACAACTGACTCCTTGATATTCCATTTAGGTGTGCCTGATGATGAAGTGACAACTTCGAAACCGGTCGCCAATAAATTGACTTGTGAGAAATAAAGGACTTTTTCTTTAACCTTTACACTTAATAATTGTGAACTGCCACCACATAGAAAACCAGTAAAGAGTTAATGGGTTTTCAAGACAAAGCTAACTGCAACTAGAGAAATAGAGCGATACAAAGCACGTCTTGTTGCAAAAGGGTACTCGCAGACACAGGGTATCGACTATGAAGAAACATATTCCCCAGTTGTCAGATACAGTTCATTTAGTCTGTTATTAGCCTTATCTGTAAAATTTGGCTGGCAAGTTGACCAAATGGACGTTGTTACTGCTTTTCTTCATCCAAAATTAAAAGAAGAAATTTATATGGAACTGCCTGATGGTGAAATATGAAAGCTAAATAAAGCTTTATATGGGCTCAAACAGGCAAGCAGAGCATGGAATCAAGATTTAGACTCTGTCCTGAAAGATATAAACTTTCAAAAATCTAAGTATGTCCCCTGTATATATTTTAATTGTACAGATGGAAAGCGCATCATTTTAGCAGTTTTTGTAGATGATATTATTATATTCTCAAACGATGATAAGCAAAAAATTTATTTGAATGAAGAACTATCGAAGAGGTTCCAGATGAAGGACCTAGGTGAAATACATTATTGTCTAGGAATTAGAATACATAGGGATCTTAAAGCTGGTACCATTACTATAGATCAAGAAAACTACATTGAAGAAATACTAGCCAGGTTTGGAATGACTAATTGCCATGGAATAAACTCCCCCATGGATTACAATAAAAAGCTGACTAAAGAAATGATGCCACAAACTGCTGCAGAACGTGAAGCAATGGCAAGTTTTCTTTATCAGGAAGCTGTAGGAAGCCTTATGTATGCAGCACAGTACACACGTCCTGATATTTGTTTCGCCGTGGGAAAGCTGGCCAGATTTAGCCAGAATTCTGGTAAAGAAGGAGTCAAAAGAGTATTCCGATACCTCAGAAAAACTTCCAATTACAAGTTATTGCACAAGAAAAATGATGATGATTTGCATGGGTATAGTGACTCTGATTGGGCAGGTGATTTAGAAGACAGAAAATCAACAGCAAGTTATGTATTTGTCCTCAGTACAGGAGCTATAAGCTGGATGTCAAAAAAGCAGTCTACATTTGCGTTATCCACTACTGAAGCTGAGTACATGACCCTTACAAATGCAACCAAGAGGCTATATTCCTAAAGAATTTATTGGGCGAAATAATTGGACAATTTCAAAGCAATATTGTTATTTACTGTGACAATAAGGGTGCTGTGGACCTTGCAAAAAGTGAATTTTTAGGCCAAGAACAAAGCACATAGACATCAAGTATCATTTTGTAAGAGAAAAATGTCTAAACTGTGAAGTCCTATTTCATTCAGTCAGAACAGATGAAATGGCCGCCGACATGCTAACCAAATCTTTGACGCCTGACAAATTAAAAAAAAATATTCAGTTGGTAGGACTTGTAACTTAGAAGTATCACATCAAGAGGGGGTGTTAGAATATGTTCTGTGAAACTTATATTATAAGTCTGTTTATTTTTGTAGTTAGTAGTTATGTATGTTGTTAACTAATATAAATAGTGTGACAAATAGAAAAATAAAAAGGATTGTCAAAAGTTGATCTTAATCTTTATTTAAAATAACATTTACAACGTATCTCTACCGATCTACGCATACCACTGCTGCAGTACTCACCAACAAGAGATGTGGCACCAAGACACACAGGAGCTTACTGCAGGTTAGTTTTGTTTTCTCAATATATTTGACCAAATATTAGCTAGAGATTATATTTATTGTTCTTTTTATTCACAGATGTAAGTTAAAATGTATGGGGACTATCTCAGAAGATAATATCCAGAGTAGTATCTGTTTTATTAACAATTTTGATAGTAAAAATGCCCAAGACACAAACTTGCAGGGCATTGATTGAAAAGCAGGAAATACATAGAAAACGTCCCAGATCTGAAGTACCTAAGAATAGACAATTTACTTTCAAATATCACATTAAGATAGAAGGTGTTAAATTAAAAGTGTGCATAAAAGCATTTTCCAGCATCCATGGAATTTCTGAGAAAAAAGTTTATGTATTTTATTAAAAAAAAACGAGCAACCTATAGATCACAGAGGAAAATCACAGGGATCACGGAGCAATGCAATATCTGGTGATACATTATCTAAAATCCGGGAGCATATTGAGTCATTTCCTGTCAAATGTGTGCACTATTATAATAAAGATGCATCAGCCTATTACTTAGATGAAAAACTCAATGTGAAAACTATGCATGCATTGTACAAACAAAAATATCGAGATCATCCAGTAAAATATAATTTTTACTTAAAACATACAGGAAAACTTTAGCTTATCATTTGGTAGAAAGCAAACTAAGTGCAAGAATGATCCAAAGGTGTATGGGCTTGCATTTGATTATATGCAAAATTTACCACTTCAACATATTCCAGTGCAGGAATTTTTTTATGTACGCCAAATATGGCTATATGAGTTTCGCATTTATGACATGAAAACTGGAAAATCAGTCTTTTATTCTTATTGTGAAGGAGTTGCTAACAAAGGTCCCAATGAAGTGGGTACCTTTGTGCTGGATTACATTAAAAATAATATTGGCAATGATGCCGAAGAGTTGCACCTATTTTCAGATGGCTGTGCAGGCCAAAATCGTAATCATGCCATGATTCGTATCCTTTTATCACTGGCAGCTGAACAAAATAACAATATCAAGAAGATAGAATATTACATACCCAAAAGAAGTCATTCATTTCTGCCAAACAACAGAATGTTTGGGACAGCAAAGAGACATATTCGAAAAAATGTTAGGCTTTACACTCCAGCCGAGTATGAAAATCTTATAGTTGAAGCTAATGAAAAATTTGAAATATAAAGGCCGAAAACTGAAGATATCATAGACATAAGAAAATGGTGGCCGAAACATTATAAGAAAGTGGTGCTGTCTGTGGATTCCCATGGAAAAGGAATACCCAAGGGACAAAAAACAACTTTTGCTATTTCCAAAGTATCACATTTGACTTTTTCTAAGTCCACACCAGGTCTTGTAACAACACGTGGTTCCATAGATTGTTTTATCAGTTATGATTTCCAGCTCTTACAGAGGATGGGTACCAGGCCACCCTTACCAACAAGTGATACTCCTGCATATGATGGTAAAGTGCCAATCAATGAAAAGAAAATGGCAGATTTGAACAAATTAGCAAAATATATTCCAGCAGAGTACCAAGATTTCTATACAGAGGTTTTTGCATGGCCAACAACTGAAACAAAAAATGATTATCAAGAAAATAATGATGATAACTAACCCTTCTTCTAAAAATCTTTGGATTTGACTATGCATCTAAGAAGTCATTTTGTAAAAGGCATAAGTCGAAATTTTTTTAATTCAAATATCTGTATGATTATTTTTTTTTTATTGTATAAATGTCACAAAATTATATAGGTATGTCCTTTATTTATCGCCTTCTATGTTAATTTTTTTAGCATCACAGACTTTTTTCACATGACACATATTTTTAGTGCTCCTGAAAAGTTTTAGTTAGTACCACCGTTGTTTATTAGGTATTCATATCAGTAACATAAATTGGAAATAGAAAGTCAACTTATATATTAAAATAATAATAAAAAGTTGTCATAGTTTTTTCGTTAATGATATCGTTACCTTAACATGTGCACCTTCTAACTCCACTTTTTACAGAAAATTAGATTATTGTGACATCTAATAATAAAATGATTTGTGCCTTTTTCAGGTAAGTCAACAAATCCAATGTGTTACCAATTCTTTAATAGGTACTAATAGGTATTGTCAGTAGTAAAATTGTTGAAGTTTTGTTCTTGTTTACATTTTAGCATCGACATTTAATAAATTCACACACGGGGGGTAAATGACGGAGGTAAGATGACGAATTCACGCAAGTATTATAATAAGGCCAGTATTCTGTTACAGAATGCCGCGGGTGTACAAGCGTAAAACCAATCGTAGAAAGTGGAGTGAAGACTCCCTTCAGCAGCTATGAGGGAAGTAGGCAAAGGATCTTTACGTTGTAACGCAGCTGCAATAACTTACTATATTCCTGAGCCTACGTTACGAAAATACTTAAAAAGAGATGCTCGAGGTGAAGAGTTCCCGGAGAGCGGAGATCGTTTTAAGAAAACCTTTAATGCAGTACAGAAGAAAGAATTTGTTAGTTACCTAACAGAATGTATCCAATGAGGCCTTGGATTAACTTCCTTGCAAGTTCGGAAACTTGCATATCAATATGCTGAAGCGAATAATATAGAACACAGGTTCAACAGGGAAGGAAACAAAAGCAGCCGGGGCTGATTGGTTCAAATCGTTTAGGGCACGTAACAAGTTGAGTCTGAAGCGACTTCAATTGTACGGCTACGAGGATTTAATAAGATCGCTGTCAAAAAAATATTTACAATTTTGGAAGAGATTAGCCAAATACAAGTTTAAAACAGACCGCATCTACAACGCAGACGAATCTGGTCTTTCAACTGTGCCAACGAAGCTACCAAAAATCATCACTCCAACAAGACAACGACAAATTGCTGAAATATTTACAGCTGAGAGAGGTGGAAATACAACTTTGGTGTGTGCAATGAATGCTGTCGGGTCATACGTCATACGTCATACGTCATACGTCATACGTCATACGTCATACGTCATACGTCATACGTCATACGTCATACGTCATACGTCATACGTCATACGTCATACGTCATACGCCATACGTCATACGTCATACGTCATACGTCATACGTCATACGTCATACGTCATACGTCATACGTCATACGTCATACGTCATACGTCATACGTCATACGTCATACGTCATACGTCATACGTCATACGTCATACGTCATACGTCATACGTCATACGTCATACGTCATACGTCATACGTCATACGCCATACGTCATACGTCATACGTCATACGTCATACGTCATACGTCATACGTCATACGTCATACGTCATACGTCATACGTCATACGTCATACGTCATACGTCATACGTCATACGTCATACGTCATACGTCATACGTCATACGTCATACGTCATACGTCATACGTCATACGTCATACGTCATACGTCATACGTCATACGTCATACGTCATACGTCATACGTCATACGTCATACGTCATACGTCATACGTCATACGTCATACGTCATACGTCATACGTCATACGTCATACGTCATACGTCATACGTCATACGTCATACGTCATACGTCATACGTCATACGTCATACGTCATACGTCATACGTCATACGTCATACGTCATACGTCATACGTCATACGTCATACGTCATACGTCATACGTCATACGTCATACGTCATACGTCATACGTCATACGTCATACGTCATACGTCATACGTCATACGTCATACGTCATACGTCATACGTCATACGTCATACGTCATACGTCATACGTCATACGTCATACGTCATACGTCATACGTCATACGTCATACGTCATACGTCATACGTCATACGTCATACGTCATACGTCATACGTCATACGTCATACGTCATACGTCATACGTCATACGTCATACGTCATACGTCATACGTCATACGTCATACGTCATACGTCATACGTCTTACGTCAACCCGAGTTGTTAAATGGTTGTCCTTCCACTTCTGATGGTAGGGCACAACCTTCAGGCTAGATGACGGCGGAAACTTTTCTTGCCAACCGTCTGTTGATAATCCCGTATTGTTTACTGGCTGATTATCATATTTCCCATGTTTCCCTTCCAGGAATCAATTTCTGCCGAGAAAATCGAATTGTGCTTGTACGATTTCCTTCCCACACAACCCACCCATTACAATCATTAGACGTTTCGTTTTTCGGACCTTTTAAGGCATTTTATAATCAAATGTGTGATTCGTTTCTAATAAGTCATCCAGGAACTCCAATAACCGACAAAAATATAGGACCTTTGTTCGGAGAGGCTTACTGCAGGGCAGCCAATGTAAATAATGCTGTAAACGGCTTCACAGCTTGTGGCATTGAGCCTTTTAACCCTCTAGTTTTTGATCAAAAATAACTGAACGAGATGAATAACCTGAAATGAACGGTTCTCTTTTGATAAATGATGATGATGTCAATAAAAAACAAGGATTCGTCATCTGATGAAGATGATGAAGTACCTCTAAGTGTGTTGGTGAAAAAAATATAACCTTTTACTACACCTGAACAGATCACATCAAATGAAACTTTTAAAACTTCAACCAAAGGTCAAATAGAGACACATAAACGTCAACTTTTTTCAGATAAAAATACTTTAAATGATTCCCTACTATTTGGAAACTTAGGCTAATTGCAATATCTGGTAGCTCCTTAAACCCTGGAAAAAATTGTCATCTTCTGTTATAAGTGGTACTTCAATGAAGTTACAAGTAGAAAAAAAAACAAGGAGAGATTGAAGTAAAATAGAACAAAAAAAAATAAAACAAGAAAAGAAACGTCTACAAACATTGCCCAGTGCTGCATTTATTGCAGATCCCAGTTCTGTTGATACCAGTACTGCTGGTCTCAGCTCTGATCATCCCAGTGCTACTGATATTGCAGGTCCCAGTAGTGAGATTCAATATTTTTGCCCTGCATGTAATGAAGAATATAGCGACCCACCATCTGAAAATTGGTTGCAATGTTTTCATTGTATGTCATGGTGGCACGAAGCATGCAGCAGTTTTGAGGGTTTGGACAGTTTTTGTCATCTTACCCCAGTCATCGGAAAGTAAGTCCAAGGTAGTTCACATTGGAAAGTTATCACCATGCCGTGGTCCAGACCCTTTCCGTTAGCTCTAACCAGGTCCCAGTAATCAAGTTATTCGGGGCAAATAACTAGAGAGGAGGGTGTAATGTTACGCAGCACCCTGCAGCGTGCTGCGGTCGTCATAAGTAAAGGTACGAGTAAATGAAGAAGGTATAATAGTCCAGAAATGTCATTCCTTTTTAAAGAAAAATCAGGATTGTTCGAGATGATTCTAGAAGGTTGAGGCGATATAAGTCGACAACCTGACGTCAGTTATCAGTTTTTATGATAGACGTTATATCGTTAATGTTATCAGTTGTATTGTTATTGTAAAAGCTGAGTTAAAACAAACTGAGATACCAAAAACCTTCATAACAATATGATATCTGGTTTGTCTTCCATGAATTGATGGTCATCCTGAGATATACAGCAATTTTGATTGAACAGAAAAAAGAATAATACCTACTACTGAAAAAGTAGTAAATATTAACAGATTTTCTGATTACGGGGCAGTATTTAAATAATGTCTGACTTGATATTATTGAACAAGTACCAGTAGTACGACGAAGGTTGGACCTGTCTTTGATGCCTCGACTAAAGACAAAATGGACCATTCTCTTACTGATTGTTTAAAAAAGGACCTAACCTGATTAAAGAAATTCCTTCAATGTTATTGCATTTTAGACAAAAAGCTTTTGGCGTTATCGCGGATATAATAAAAGCATTATTACAGATTAGCTTATCTCTGCAGGACAGTGAATACCTCAGAATTTTATGGTGGGAGGATTATTCTGCAAATAAGCTAATAATGTATAGAAGATACCGAAGGGTAGTATTTGGCGTGTCGTCTAGTCCATTTTTATTAGCGGCCACAATAACACATCATTTAGATAATGCACCAGACTATCTTAAAAACACTGCAGAAAAGTTAAAACGTCCATGTCGACAACTGTAGATACTATTGAAGATTTAGACAAGTTTATTAAAGAATCAACGGAGCTCGGTTTAAATTACGAAGGAGGGTTCATAGATTCACAAAACATTCAGAACTCGTTGAAAATGACAATGTTACGATTTTTTAAGTTTTAGGATTGTTTCAAGAAGGATGAACCTTTCTGTGATGTCAATTCTCTAAGAGAGATACAAGATATTTCAGTTACAAAAAGAGGACTTCTCTCATTAGCGCAGAATATTTTTGACCCTATTGTTCAGCGTCTCTAACACCAAAGTTTCGAGATATGGGCGAGCTAATAAAGCTCCTGAAAAATTGCAGTATACATGATGATTTTATTTAATTTTCAATAAGTCTATTGCAAAGGTGGGAGAACGTTGGCAATATAAAATTATCCTAAAAATATTGAAAAATAATAAAAAGTTGTCATAGGTTTTTCTTTAATGATATGTAAATTAAAAATTGTAAAACTTGTAAAAAAAATAGATTGATAAAAACAATAGTATATTGTTTTATTAGGAGTAAAAGTATAACTTTTTGTGGCGAGTCTGAATGTTTGATGGCCGAACGTTAGTGAGGCCGA